TGGCTGTCCCTGCTGGGGACAGCTGTCCCCTCCCTGCTCAGCCCCTCCAGCCCGGCAAATGGACCCTGGGAGACATGATGCCAGGTGTAGGGTGCCCCCTCTGCAGGCACAGTGCCAGGCTCTAGGGTGCCCCTTGGCTAGGGGCTGCCACTGTGCACATCCATTCCGTACCATGAGGCTCTCCCCCCCTTCCGTGTCCCAGGCACTGCTGCCTGGCCACAGCCTGTGCTGGAGCAGAGGGGTGGGCTGGTGTTTCTGTGGGTACAACAGGGCAGAGCGTTGGTCCGTGCTTGTCCCCATGGGCTCTGCTGGTGGGGTGCTTCTTTTGGCCCCTCTAGGGAGCTGGGGACAGGCTAAGGTGATGAGTCCCGCTAGCATCCCTCGCACCCTACCCAGGAAGCAACCCAGCCTTGGCCCTCAGCCCCTCTGAGTGACCCCCTCAGCAGGATGGGGCAGAGGGAAGCAGGGCAGCATCCCCTCTAACCCAGCACGGTGTCCCAGCAGAGGCTGAGCTGTAGCATGCAGGCGGAGGAGGGCACGGACTGGCTGCTGGAGCTGCTCACTGAGCTGCAGCTGCAGCAGTACTTCCTCCGCATCCGAGACGAGCTCAACGTCACCCGCCTCTCCCACTTCGAGTACGTCAAAAATGAGGATCTGGAGAAGATCGGCATGGGACGCCCTGGTGCGTACAACCCCCCCAAAACCTCTCCTGTGCCCCTGTCTGGCTGCACACCATCTTTTGGGGAGCCCAGAGGAGCATGCTGTCCGTGGGGCTGGAGGGGACCCCCACCCTGTGCGGGGTTGGTGACCGTCACTGTGTCCTGCAGGCCAGCGGCGGCTGTGGGAGGCGGTGAAGCGGAGGAAAGCCATGTGCAAGAGAAAATCCTGGATGAGCAAGGTAGGAATGGAAGATGAGTGGGCAGGCAGGAGGAGCGGGACCTCTCCCCATGCTCTTCGCTGGTGCTGGGCTCTCCCCAAGCCACCAGTCTCTGGGTGGCAAGGGGGTGGGCAGAAGCCCCTGCCGACCATGCTCTGCCTGTGGCATGGCCCTGCCAGCACACACCCCAGTCCCATGTGAGCTCCTGGATCCTTTCCCAGTGAAGGATAGCCCTGCTACCCCAGCACTCGGGAAATTCATTCGCCTCCTGTTATTTGCCTCTTTGCCAGCAAACTCGCTTGCAGCTAATGAGCCACAGAGCCTTTGCATCTCACCCCAGCCAGCTCCGTGGGCAGCGGTGCTGCTGGCCCCTGCCTGCCCCACTGCCTCGTGATGAGGGGACACAGCCTTGTGCCTGCACGGTGGGGTACCAACAGGGCAGGGGACCGTGGGATGCTCACATATGTCCATGATGCTATCCCATCCAAAGCTGTTGGTGGTGCTGCTGCCACCTGGGCACCCCCTGGCACCTTGTAACCCCCAAAGACCAGGGTGCTTTCCAGCTGGTTGCTGGGTCATGGCCTATCCCCTCTGTGACTCATATGGGCTGGGACAGGGACAGGACACCCTTTTAACAGAAAGCTATTTGGCCTTACACTGGGCACAGAAATGCCACCTCCCACCCTGGCTGCATGCCAGGCTCAGCCCCCACACACCCTGCACAGCTCCTGGCTGTTGAGGCTGGGTTGGACCCCATCCTGTGGGGCATATTATCAGTCCATATACATCATCTGTCCCAGCTGGGGAAGAGGGAGGGACAGCCCGTTCGTGTCCCCTCTGGGCTGGCAGTGGTGGCAGCACATAACTGCAAGGCCCATGTCGCTACAGAGATGTGTCACCACACTTGGCCCAAGGTGAAGGTTTCTCTTGGCCTTGTGCCCAGGCACATCGTGTGGCCGCAGCCTGGCCAAGGATTGCCCAGGGCCCTCCAGCTACTGGCCTGGTTTGGTGGGGCTGCTGTGAGAGGCACACGCAACCCCTTCCCTCCATATGTGTCGCAGCTCAGCGAGCAGGCAGCCAGAGGAGCAGAGCCCACTCCCGCAGCCAGCCTGCCCTGCGTAATCACCAGTTAGGGGTCATTGTTAGGTTCCAGAGTGTACAAGCCGGGCAGGGGATCATCCCGGCAGCGCTTATTTGCAGATCCAAGGGCTTGGGGCATCTCCACACCTGTGTCTCACCTGCCTCCATGTCCCACAGGTGTTCAGCGGGAAGCGGCCCGA